AATCCAGCGCCCCTTCGGCCCCAGGCCTCTGCAACTCCGGACCCTCGGCCCCTGGCCCTGGTTACAGCCTCAGCCTCTCCCGCCCAGCCTTCCAGTGCTTTTCCCCGCTCAAACCCAAGTGCTGCGGTCCGCCCTACCTCCCGAAGGAGCGCTCCGACCGCAGCCCCACGGCAGAGCCTGTGTCCCGTGCATCCCTGCCTCCCCGGGGGAGTGGGTTCTGACCTATTAACAGTAAGGACGGTCGATCGCATTGTTGGGTCTCACCGATCTGACATTTGGAGGCGCCCGCTGGTGGCCATGTCTCTTCCGTGTTTTTTAGGTCTTATGAATCCCTCTTCAAGTGCCAGCTGTGGCCGCATACTGCGCCAGTAGCGGGCAATGAGGGGCAGGTGTGAGGAGGAGGCCGTAAAAACAGAAACCAAGTTGGGCCATTCCCCTGTCCAGAGTCCTTCCATCCTCGCTCCTCACCCAACCTCTTCAGCCGCTAGCTTCTTCTCTTCCTAATATGTGTCTTTGTGTGGTGTTTCCTCTGCCCGGGACACATTTCCCTCCCTCAGAGCATAGGGACCCTCCCACACCTATCAGTCACTTTCACATTCCTCTGCTGTTCTTTACAGGACTTACAACTCCAAATTACCTTATTTCTGATGCTTCCTTCTGATAGCTGACAGGAGGGCTGGTGGAGGGTTGGGAGTGGGGTGTCACGTGGCCTTGAGAACTTGTTTGACCCACCCACCTCCCAGGCAGTCCTAACCTGGAGAGGTCTTTGAAGTCCTGTGAGGGAAGTGGGGGAGCCCATGGGAGAGGCCCTAAGGGTCTTAGGGTGAGAGTCTCTGGGGAGCTCTCATCCCTGGTCCAGCCACATTCCCCACTAGAAGCCTGGATCCAGCAAGCAGGAGATGTGGACACAACCAGGCCAGTGTATGCAGTTGGCCTATTTGGGGACATGGTGGACAGATAGTGCTGGGAGGTTAGGGTCTGTCTAGACCCTGCCTTCTTGGCACTGTCTGTGCCCTTCTGATGTCTGGTTCTGCAGTTCAAGACCTGCCACATCCCCTCTTCTCAGAAACCTCCTAGCACAGCCCCTCTTAGGGGCTGCCCTGGCCGGAGCTGCATGAAGGATGAGACTGGCGCAGTTGCAGTGGGGCTCGGGGCTGGGCAGTAGTGGTGACAGGTGGTGGTGTGTCCAAGAGAACCAACCTGCACAGCACACACCCTCACTGAGCCCGCAACCTCCTGGGACCCTTTACCACGGAACTCAAGGCTGAAGCCCCAATATTGGTTCCAAGATGTCTGACATCACAATGTCCAGCCAATCAGCTGCTGCCAGTGGTGCAGCAGCTACACCTAAGGTTTGGCATACCTGCTGCCCATCTCTGGCTTAAGCTGCATGAGGGCGGGGAAAGACCTGTGTCAAGTACAATTCTTTGCATAGGGGGCTGAGGTTACTAAGCCAGCACAGACCCCATGGCTAAGGTTATGTGTACGGGGGTCCTTGTTGGGTGACCTCAGGTTGCTAGGTCAGGGGAATGAGGACCAAGCCAAGAGGCTATAGTGACTTTAAGGTTCACAGGGTTGGGGCAGTGGCAAAGAAAATACTGCTGGGCCATGCTGGAGGTCATGGCATGTGTGAGGCAGCTTCTGAAGGTTGGCTGCCAGTCTCTGACAAGAACGACAGCAGCACTGTGTACAATTAACAAAAAGATTTGTATTAGAACATTTACACTCAGGGAAGAAAGAGGTATCTGCATCATCAAATGTGGAATGTTGAAGAAACAGTTAAAATAAATAAAGACTCCGAGCGCGATTGGGGCTGGCTCAGGCTGGGACTCAGAGGTCTCTGCGCATCAGCTCCAGGCTGCAGAGGCCACCACCTGGCCATACTGGCCTCCTCCCTGACACAGCACAGCTGTGCCTGGGACACAGAGAGTCTTTCAAGTGCTGGTGCAGCCAGCAAACTCACTCCCCACTTTCTTCACTTATCTCTGTGACAATGTCTATCAGGCTCTGGAGCCCGAAGATATAGCCAGCATCCTGGCCCTCGTGTACGACGCTGTCCTCGCCATACAGCCTGCAGGTAGTGTGAGCAAAGTCGATCATGCGCACGTCCACTGAGCTGGGGCCGATGGGCTTGAAGGCATAGGCGCCAGCGGACTCGTCGGCCGACTCCTCTGACAGGTCCTCCAAGTCCTCAGCATCTGAGTCCAGGGCCACTTCAGGCAGCTCCTTGCCATCGTAGATGACTAGCAGGGAGCTTGAGTAGAAGCGGTAAGACTCCTGTCGCTCCAACACAGCCTTGAGCTCAGCCAGCTTCTTCAGTACAGGGCCAAGGAGCTCACGGCGCAGGTACCGCCCGTTGTGGAAGAACTGGAATAGGGCCTCCTTAAAGCCCTGCACCGACAGCTTCCGGCCGTGGTACTTGTTCATGAACATGAGCTGCCCACTGCCTGCCTGGTATACCTGTGGGAGAGAGACCAGCAGGTAAGGTGCTGACAGCGTTGGGTCAGATCCTGTGTACCAGTCACAGGAGACACTGTCCTCTCCTATCAACACCCACTCAAGAAACAGCCCTCTGACTTGGGTTCCATCCCGGCCCCCTGTCTAGTGTACGGTTGGTGGAGAGGACCCAACCCTCTTGCCTCTCTCCTCCTCCTGTCCAGACTCCGGCCTCAGCCGGCCAGGCCAGCCCGAAGGGGATCACCCGGGTATGCATGCTTTCTTTACTAACTAGAAAGTGACAGATTTTCTCCTCCTCCTGTCCAGACTCTGGCCTCAGCCGGCCAGGCCAGCCCCGAAGGGGATCACCCGGGCGTGCATGCTTTCTTTACTAACTAGAAAGTGACAGATTCAGTGAAATGTGGCACCTTCTGAGAAAATAGGACTATGTCAGGGTGAGGGAGCAGCAGCTACCGGATACCTATCCAGCCCACATCATGTGACAGCACTCCCCTTACCTGCATGCCACACACGCGCACACCGATGACCGCAGATGTGCTCTGCTGGCATTTGCGGATCTGGTTGGCTGCCTTCTCCTCTGAAGCATCGTCACCATGCTGGCGTGTACCCATCTTGAGGTCCAGGACACAAGGCACCTCATAACGGGAAGTCAGGTTCTCCAGTAAAATAAATTCTGAATGGTTAAGGAAAACCATGCCAAAGGGGAGGTGCTACTGCGTGAGTCCTTGACACTCCCAGGGTACAATGCCTGCACAGTTCCCAGGGAAGCCCAAGTCCACAGGGGGTCCCATCGGTCCTGCCACCTCTCACACAGGGAGCCCAAAGCTGACTAGAGAGGGCACTTGCAATGCTCGTCAGGGAACATGTCCTAGAACAGCCTGCGTCCGGACTCAAAACAGGCCTGGGCTCCCCCAGGTGAGAGAGACACACACCAATTCCTGAACCTCAGCAAGGTGTGGGACCAGGCTCCAACAGCATTCTGTCCTGAATTAACAAATGAGTTCAGTAAATCCTGTAGCCTTAAATATGAACTGGAGGCATCAGTATGAACTCATGAAAAGCTTTCTTTTTAAAATACAGTGTATTCCCCAGCTACATGAACTGAAAAGGTCCAGAAACAATGACCAGATGTATGAGCACCTCTAGCCCAGACCAGTGCTCCCAGAACAGGGACTGGTGAACTATGGTCTCTGCTTGTTATTGTACAGCCTGTGAGGTAGGAATGGTTCTTACATTATTTTAATTTTCATGACACATGAAAACTAAATGAAATTCAAATCTGTGTGACCATAAATCATTTTATTAGAATACAGCCATTACTACTCAATTCTACGGCTGCTTTCATGCTACAATGGCGGAGTTGTGACAAGAGTGTGCAGCTTGCAAAGCTGAAAGTATTATTACTTGGCCCGTTACTGAAAAGGTCTGCAACCCCTGCCTCAGAGGGCTATGAATAAATTCACATCTGGAGTAGAAAACATACATGACCTCGGCCCATCTTCTCATACCAGAAAGACAGGTATCACAGACTACTGAGATTGTGTCAAAAAGACTCAGGAGCCAATTTAAAAAGGTTCCCAAGTGACCAAACATTGAGCATCTATAAAGATAACTACAATGGACTACAACATGTCAAATAAGTTTAAATTCATGGATTCATAATAATGCTAAAAAACTCACTGGTCACCTTTGGAGGATGTTAACTCACTCATTGTTCCAAATACATATCCAATAAATAAAGGAAAAATTTAACCTGCCTTTCCTATACAGACTATGCCTCAGGATAAACACATGGTTGAAAGTTTTTCTTTACAGGATTCCAGCTAATGAATGAAAAGAATGACAAAATTAGAAAACCACCTAATGAAAAATTGATCTAAGGCAATGACGATACAAAAGAGAAAGACAACTAAACACTGAGCTTCCGACGGACATGTACAATAACATCTGATTTTTGCTCACTTCCCCCCAAAACTGAACCTGAATCTGATCAAGCTAGTAGATCAAATTATCAATTTAATGGAAACGGAGGAGACAGAGTAACATGTAAAAGACACCACGGGGATGTAATCAGTAAAATCCAGATGGTGGGAAACTCTAGAAGGCCTAGTTTCTTTGGCAAGAAATTTCCAAGAAGAAAAAACAGGAAGGGTATTTAAAAAGACTTAAACATTTCAACCAAATACAACATGTGAACGTCATCTAAATCCTCAAAGAAACAAGTGATAAAAACGTTTATGAGACAATTAGAAAAAGGTGAACATACACTAAGTACTTCATATTAAGGAATTACTGTCCACTTTTTAAGGAGTAATAATGGCATTCATGTTTTTCAATATCCTTATCTTTTAGA